TAAAAACGTGTAATCCCAAATATAACATATGTTACATGGTATATTGATGTATAGTTTTTCTATGATGTCTCCCTCTCAGCTGGGCGAGAGCGTTCTAACGCCACAGTTTGCTTTAATTTGGAACAAAGTCCGAGATAGTGCTACTCTGAGGATCTTACCTTGGTGCAAGCAGACCGCCTCCGTGGTGTAGTGGTTAGAGCGCCCGCCCTGAGAGCGGAAGGTTGCGGGTTCGATCCCCGACCGCGTTATACCAAAAGACGTTAAAATATGGTACTTGTTGGTCCCTGGCTGGCGCTCGGTATTAATGGGTACAACAAAGACTGGTCGCCTCGGAGTCAGTATAATGTGTCTGAGTGGGGTATTCATGCTTCTCTGCGGCATTGTATCTCAGTGGGTTAGCACTATAAAACCAGCTTCAGTCGGGGCTAGTACAAGCAGCCGCACATACACATACACACGCATGCACGTCGTCATATGAGCGAAATATTCTCAAGCACGACGTTAAACCCTATTTCACCTCACCTCACCTTGGTGCAAGACAAGGCTCCGACGCTGGGCCGAAGTGAAGTTGTATTGAGCGAGAGTGTATCTAGAACTGAAGGGTAGCCTGCCTTTCCTCTGTGCCAGTGTAAATAGCGGAATGTAGATTGAAAGACGGAAATGGAAACATGATTATCACCTCGTGGCATAACACCTCTCTGCTACATGACCTAATCAGCCATTCGCTGTTGTGATAAGACCTCATTGGTTTGAATAATTAATGACGCGACTTGGCAAAGATTTCTCACAATGGTTACTTCGCAGCACATTTACGCTAAAAAAGGCGAATTATGGGTTCAGGTAGCAAAAAGTGAGCGGCGGGCCAGATGTATATGGTCACGTGACATCAGTCTATACCGACTGTCGAGCCTTGTGGTGTTGTAGGAAAATCTATATGCACAGATGCAAAAATAACTTATCTACGGACGGATGCAGTATTAACGTAATAGAACCTTGTCTTTACATCTAGGGATATAGTACCGGTACACGTGAACTAAATGCAATGTATGACCCGCTGTATCACACACAACTGCGGGGTGAGTGAGTGAGTGAGCAGGGGCCGATACAGCTTTTTGAGAAAGATGGTTGGGTGGGCGGGCAGGGGTGGGGTGCACACTCTTGAGAAAGGGGGTGGGGTGGTGCACACTTAATTTTCACGAGTTTCAATGGTCATTTAATAAACTCTCAGGACAAAAGGGGGTATGCGCACACCTGCATCCTCCTCTGGATCCGCCTATGGTGAGTGAGTGAGTGAGTGAGTGAGTGAGTGAGTGAGTGTTGTCTTCAAGCGTTACCACAGTGTAGGGTCAAAATACGTGCTATGTGCTGAATTCTTCTGTAACTTGGACGACCGGTTTTAATACAGCCGTTATGATCAGGGAGCGGTGGGGCAGCCTGGTGGTTAAAGCATTCGCTCGCCACGCCGAAGACCCGGGTTCGATTCTCCACATGGGTACAATGTGTGAAGCCCATATCTGGTGTTCCGCATCGTGATGTTGCTGTAATATTGCTAAAAGAGGCGTAAAACCAATTTCAATCAATCAGGTTATAAAATGGGAGGGGTTTCAGCTGCATTTGGTGAGAGTACTACAGCAGAAAAATGAGCTTCACACACCGGCACGTATGGGGAATCGAACCGAGCCCTTGGTATGGCGAGCGAACGCTTTAACCTCAAGGCTCCCACTTACATATCATTATAGGCCCTGTATAACGGAACTGGCCCCAGTGGACTTTGTAGGCCTCATCGGCTTACATGATTCTGGTACTGAAACCCCCGCCACTGTCTTGCGATGAGGAGCCAAGTAGCGAATTCGCTTGCCAACTTGATAAGTAGAAAAATGGCATTGGTTCTCGTGTATATGTGTGCCTTTCTTGCAATAAACACGACAATATCATTTCCTGGGTTTCCATGGGTATTGGTGGCCTTGGACAGGGTGATTAATTATTTCGGAGCCATCCCTCTGAACAGAAAGAACTCAATATAGATATACTGAAAAGTCGAGTTCGTATTCAGCCATTCTTCATTTTATTCAGTATTAACATTAAGGTGGGATTATATCTCTTTGCCAAGCAAGAAACCTTATATCCGGTGTTCGAATACTTGTTTACCCCGAATATGTCATCAACGTCTAGCAATTTGGCCATTCCAGACTGTCAGGCAGATTCGCCATGAAACAACTGGAAAGTTCGACGCAGCGATGAAAACATAGATTTTCTAATTTATTTAAAACACAGAGCAAACCACACTGGCATGAAAAATGAAACTGATCATTCCTTGCAGAAATCTTCACAAAAACCTACCATCAGCACACACCTAAAGTAACCGTCTCTTAAAGTTAAAATATACCAATACACTAGTTTAATTTCAAATGAAAGGCCTAGGGGTAGCCTAATGGTTAAGGCGTCCGCTCGTCGCGCTGAAGACTCGGGTTCGATCCTCCACATGGGTACAATGTGTGAAGCACATTTCTGGTGTTCCCCGCCGTGATATTGCTGGAACATTGCTGTGAAATGAAGCAGTGATCATTAAATTCAATCAATACATTGTAATTTGTCATATATACATAAAAGTCAACCAATACTCTAATTGACTGTCTCTTATCATTAAATGTAACAAATACACTGATTAACTGTTTGTCACTGGTCACTGTGATTTATTGTGCCAAGACGCACGATATTACAATCTGTCACTATCGTTAATTCTACGAAGAAGAGTGAATTTAGTTTTACGCCGTTTTAGCAATATTCCGGCAGGGGACACCAGAAATGGGCCTCATACATTGTACCCATGTGGGGAATCTTACCGAACGCGGCGTATAAGCGTTTTCCCTCACTCACAATGATCAGTCTGTAGTCTGTCTCACGGTCCCTGAACCACATTATTTTCCCTACAGCCTAGCCATCCCTGCAACGCTAAATCCCTAAATGAAGCAAGCTTAGATTTCCCCAGGTTCAAGTCTCCCTATGGCTCCTTTTCAATTTAAATGGGTATATTTGGTACAGTCAAAATTATATATGTTCAGAGACTAAGCGTTCTTTTAATCAGTTTGTTACTCTCATTTTCATCATTATAGTGAGTGAGTGAGTGAGTGAGTTTGGTTTTACGCCGCATTTAGCAATATTCCAGTATTATCACGGCGGGGACACCAGAAATGGACTTCACACATTGTACCCATGTGGGGAATCGAACCCGGGTCTTCGGCTTGACGAGCGAACACTTTAACCACTAGGCTACCCCACCGCCCCTTCATCAGTAAAAGTACATCTTGTCAGTGCATGGGTTCATGGCTCGTAAATATTTTACGTTTGTGTATTTCACTGATTGAAGAATCTGTTCAAACTCTTGCTTAAAACCAAAACTTTGAAGGGAAAGCTAATTATAGCGTTTCAATTTTACGAGACATTTGCCACATTATAGTACATCTGATGTGGAAAACGATATGGAGACTGCTTTTAACATTTGCCTTGATGCTGATGTCTGCATGAGGCGTGTGGGCCATACGATGTGCTCTCTTCAACGAACAACGTAAAAATGAAATGTAATTATTAAGGATCAATCTGCCCACTGTAATCAATACATGTTACAGTAATGCACAGTTACGTCACAAGGCTGTAACTGCATGAGATGAAAGAGGCTGAGAATCGTTCAGATTAGTAGAGGATACAGAACGTCACTGCCATTAAGTTCAGTCTCAAAGAAAACTCAATTTAACAACTCGTGTATGTATATAATATATAATAACTCTTCACCTATTCCCTAAAGCAATATTACCACGACGATTCAAGTGCAATAATCTTGAACAAGACGTCGAAATCTGTTTCTCTTGACAGTATATACTACTAAAAAAAGACGAGTGAGTGAGTGAGTTTAGTTTTACGCCGTTTTTAGCAATATTCAAGCAATATCGCGGCGGGGGACACCAGAAATGGGCTTCAGACATCGTGCCCATGTGGGAAATCAAACCAGGGTCTTCGTCTTACATACACGGTAAGAAGAGACTTTCTTTATTTCATGAAAACACAATCCCTTTCAGGAAGTGGTCAAATGAAACTTATGTTATATTTGGGATTACACTTTCTAAGTAAAGATTCTAGTACTTTTGAGGGGTTGAGTTCCATCCGGGATTCGAGAATCTAATCCCTAACAAACAAAGCCAATGATCTAACCCATTTAGCCTCCGCGGCTTCTTCAGAAATGGAAGTCTGACAACTGGTAGTCTAGATCACGTACGTTCTGCCCCCGTCTGACGAGTGCATATTGGCACGACGCCCACAGCCGAAGCTATAATAACTCAGTCCCTTTTGGAAAGTGGTCAAATACAACATATTTGGGATTACACATTCATAGTAAAGTACAGATTCTAGTACTTTTGAGGGGTTGAGTTCCATCCGGGAATCGAACCCAGTCAGAATAAGAGTCCTAATAGCCAGCACAGAATTGGTATCGATCTAACCCGCTGTGGATTAGATCGCTGGCTTTGAGTGCTAATCTTGCCGCTGACTTTCTGTCCGTCTATCCGAAACACCGTAGTACCACTTCACACCATCATAAGTAATTAGAACATGAACCAGATACAAGCTCTGCTTTAAGCCTTTGCAAGAAATAATTCTGAAATGCATTCAGACAACCATTTTTTTAACTTGAGTTAACACACGTCAGGCAATCAGCGTTTACGTAAGTATTTCAGGATGTGAGAATAGCGTCTTGTTTACGATTTCCACTTGGCGACTTCTTTCTCCATTTGCAACCGACACCAGCAAATTACTTCTGTCTTTTTATATTGCCTAAAACCATTGACATACAGATCTTTGCGTTATGACATCATTTTTCTTCATTACTGCTCTGCAATTTGTAAACGAGAATTTGCCACTGAGAGAATTAAATGGAACTTCAAAAACGTCAGGCGAATGAAGCGCCGAGCGGCAGGTGAAGCCAAGTAGATAGCTCCTACCGTGTTGAGGTAGCTTGTAAAATCAATAGGACATGTCATTCCGTTACAGTTTCCGATCCAAGTTTTCATAGCCTCATGTGTTCAATAAGGCAGCCTATGCATTCATTGCGGCAGATTGTGTCGGCTGCTTCTGTAGTCAGCTGCTCGAGTGGATCACGCGGAATGTGGACGTGCTCGCCGAGGCCGACGTGGTGAAGCAGACGAACAAAACCCATGCCAAGTAACACAAGCTAGAGCAGAAGGGAGGAGGGGACGATTTGAATAAAAATGGATGGAACGGACGAAAAGTGGGGTGAAACTGACAATACTTTGAATCATTCAGCTTCTGTGGACGGAGCGCAATGGATAACCCACAACGAGCAGACGACAGCGGGAAAAGAAGAAAAAGTTTCTTTTTGGCGGTTGTTTATGGACAACCGGCTTCAGGTTGTCACCTACTGTCTTGTGTTCGGCAGTTTTGGAGTTTGTGTTGGATTTCTTGGCCCTACGGTGTTTGATTTGGGATGTCAAACTAATTCGGATCTGAAGGAAATGAATTGGGTGTTCTTTGTTCAGCTCCTTATGACCCTAGTGGGATCGATAACGTCAGGCTGTATGGCAGACAGGTAAGTTGACATACTGTCTTAGAACGCAACACAGTTTTGTTGACGGCTATTCAACTAATTAACGCCATCTCCTTTTCTCCAGCTACCTTGCTCCGGTCGGTGTACGATGACCAGTCAATGCTACTCTGAAATGAGCGGTCAGGGCTGGCTTTTGTCAACCCGAAAGCCATGTTTAACACATGTTATGAAGTATTGATGTTATTGAAGTATTTAATTCATATACAGCGCATAAGCTGGGTCGCTCAAAGTATTGTGACAAGTCGATGCTGATCTGACTAGTTTGTGTTCCTCGCTTGCTGGCCTTGATAACAATACCCGTATTAATCAGCTTCGTTGATTACACTTCTATAGAATAGACGGAATTCCGCATCATACAGATCCCTTGTAAATAGCTTGTCGTGCAGATGCCGACATGAATTGTTTGAATGATCAATCGTCTAGTTTTATTCAGCCTTTTTTCAGCTTGGTAACGATTTTGCACACATTGTACTGGTATTTTTGCATAGTAACATATGTACGTGTAATGATGAATTTGGTAGTTAAACATGGCATTCACACAGAACAAATGTCTCATAATGGAAGTTTTAAACAGTTGGCCCGGTTTCCCAAATCTGCCTTATGTGATAGGCGGGTCCTAATCGTGTGACTGGGAGAGAGATGTATTTGTTTTCAGATGGACAACGGGGTACTCCGAGCAAAGTTTGAGAGCACTTCTTGAAGTGTCTTTGCATGGAAACTATTTAGACCCCCACTTGAAGTCTATGAATATCGTTTCACCTACCTACTGCCTACTTTTTCATTTGTTTAAGCCACAAGAATCTCCTCTGTTATTATGGAGACCAAGAAACATGTTCGTATGACCACTTGCCATATGTTTCTCCTGAATTGTTTTGCATAGCAACTGTTACGATCTGATTCGAGGTGATGAGCCTCTAGCTATGATGTGGTAAATTGTTAGACGCCATTTGGGCATCCGAAAGATATTTATATTCAGAGTTTTTCTCCCGATTGGTCTGACACAATTTACCAAATGCAACATTTTACTTATGCCGTTCTATCCATTGCATACGGTTTCAGTATTATGTTACATCTCCGGTTTAATAGACGCAAGTTCTTTTCTGAGGCCTTCCCTTTTTCCTTCTGTGTGTAGCGGGAACGGGCAGCTATGTTCCAAGAAACAGTTTCCTCTGTCAATGATTGGCCAATTAAATATTCCCCTCTGCCAATGATTGGTTAAATATCTAGTTCCTTCTGTCATTGATTTGCCAATAAATACTCTGTCAATGCTAGGTCAAGTAAATATTTCCCTCTACCAATGACTGATTAAATAGATAGTTGCCTCTACCAATGACTTGTTAAAGAAATGTCTCCCTCTGCCAATGATTGGTTAAATAGATAGTTCCCTCTACCAATGATTGGTTAAATAGATAGCTCCCTCAACCAATGATTGGTTAAATATATAGTTCCCTCTACCAATGATTGATTAAATAAATAGTTTCCTCTGTCAAATATAGGTGAATTACTCGGCTCCCTCTATCAGCGATTTCTTTGCTCAATAATTTCTTCAACCAATGATTAGGAAATAAAACGGATTCACATGCCAGTGATTAAATAATTAAACAGTTCACTATCTTAATGACTGATTAATTACAATGTTTTCCTTCCTTGACATTCAAATGTTATAGGAGAAATCGTTCGGTTGATAAATAGACGCCCAACACACACTTTCGTGCCTCAGAAGCAGTCAGACCGGTAGTTGTATGATTATGACTGTTATTCTGACAACCTTCTTCTAAAACATATACCGACTCCTAGACCCCACCTCCTATCTCTAGACTGGTTATGTGTGACTGGGGGGACAGGGTGCTCACCTTCTCCCATATTAGTAGTATCTGACAACGATTTATATACTAACACATGTCATATTTGGGATTACACCTTCTTAGTAGAGTACAGACTCTAGTAAATTTGTTGGGTTGAGTCCCATCCGGGATTCGAACCCACACCCTCATTGTAATCGCCAGCACACAAAGTCAGCCGCCTAACCCACTCAGCCACCGCGACTGCCACTATTTATATACTTATGAGGCATCTTACAATGAACTATATACAAATGCTTACTATCCAGAGGTAGTCTGGATCGTACAACTGATTTGTTATGATTATGGAAAGGGTTTGTTGCTTATATTTAGGCGGTCACGTGGTTATAGACAGCGGCACAGGGATCAGATAGACAAATTCTCTGTCTGTTTACCCCAACCAGACTGAGGCTCTCCACCTGAAAACAATCAAGGTCAAGGTGATAGGCATTTGAGAAGACTAATAGCGTCATGCTATAACCCTTTGTGTATCTCTAGTTGCAAATCTGAAGTCTCATTTCCCCCCTGTATTCACGCAAGATTATTGGACTATACGACGTATGTCTAGAATGATTATAGATTGTATACTGTACATACAGACCGAGGGGCAAAAGGTATACACTCTATATACATCGTATTTGACAAAATATCACTGTATCTAAACGTAATAAGTAAAAAACATAGATCCAAAACACAGGTATGATAACCGCATGAAATAGATCACCATCAAATAAAAAATTCCTGTTTGTTTCATTTTGTGCCAAACATGGTGTGTACTTTCTTTTTTCCGTCAGTATACCTCGGAACATTTGAAACATCCAGCAAAGTGATTGAAGGATGGACAGTTTCACGTGAATATTTTATTTTGACTAAATTATAGAATAGGAAAATTAAGACGTCATGATCAACGGTCTGTGATAATGGATCCAGGTCGCTTTCTCCTGTGGGCAATGTGATCCTGATGACTTGGGCTGGCTCGCGAGCCGGATACCTTGTGCGTGATGTACACAGAGGGAAAGACACGCACCGCCTGATTCCGTCTGACACAGTATAGGGGCTGCTGTGACAAACCCTTCACGTTGAGGTCCGTCACTAATCACGGCTATTCCTGTTGCTAGGTTTCCGAATCCAACAAAACAGGTGAAAGTTGTCTTTTCGTGTCAAGTTAAGATTAAAATAAAGTTGGGATGGATGGGGTGTTTTTTTTTATTGATATATATATATTATCTTGGACAATCTTGGATAAAATAGTGTGTCAGTGAGATGGGTTTTACGCCGCTTTTAGCAATATTACAGCATCATCACGGCGGGGAATACCAGAAATGGTATGTACCCATGTGGGGAATCGAACCCGGGTCTTCGGCGTGACGAGCGAATGGTTTAATCACTAGGCTACTCCACCGACCCTGTATAAATTAGATTGTGCTTTAGGCTGTTAAAACAGAAAGACGTTATTGTTAAAACTGAATTGTTTGAAGGTGTTAACCCAACGATATGCAGGTTGTAAACCCTTCGTTTTCTCCAGGAACGATGTGAGTGTGGTTTGTCTGTAATTTCCTGTAAAGTCCTGAGAAACTCAGTCGGCGGTTAAAAGGAACTAAACGTGTTAATAAAGTTATCAGAATGTTATTAGGTCGGAAAGAGTCGAAAACCTAAGGCCAATAACACAGGTATTATATCCCTATGAAATACATCACCAGTCTTGTTTGTTTCAGCTTAGCCACCGTGAAACAAACATGTATGCTTTCATTTGCCTGACGGTAATTTCTACAACATTAAACAGAATCCGAACAATTATTGTTAAATGTTATTGTTCATGTTAAAACGAACACGATACAATTTCGTTGGACACACAGTTTTAATTAAACAAATATTTCTGTATTATCAAAAGCACCAGATGAACACGCGATTTGCGTGTAATCAGTGTGTTTTGTCATGATACAAGGACAGTCGTTAGGATGTTAGCATATGTCAGATTTGAAGCAATGCGATCAGTGTTGTACGGAGCTTTCGGTGTCTCTAAACACCACCTTGTGGCGCGATAACACGCCATATTGTCAGTGTCAACACCATCTGGCAGTGGCTAAATAACACAGCCGCTGTTACCTCGGGCGCGTCTAGCAGATCTGTCAAACCAACACTGGAATCAATACCTTGCAATGATATACTCATTTACACTGATCTTTGCTGATAGGACTTTCGTCACGGTTAAGTCGAGGCATTATGGCCTCGCCTGATAAGCCGATGTGTAAGCGATCGACCGGAAGAGGCGGTCACAGGTCGATTGCACGTGCATGTGGCAGCCATGTTTAGATGCTTACAACTGACCTGGGTTTTATATACTCAATGTTTGACGCCAGTTTTATAGATCTTCTCTTATCGCTTTTATGAAATGTTTAAACAGCGATTCGTCAATGATGCTTTTCTTAAGTTACGACTTCTAATATTTACACGTGGTCGCAATACCCGTGAAGATCCGGGTTAGAATTGGTCTCCAGCAATCCATGCTTGTCGTAAGTGGCGACTAACGGGATCGGGTGTCAAGCTCGCTGACTTGGTTGGCACATGTCATCGTATCCAAATTGAGTAGATCGATGATCATGCTGTTGATCACTGGATTGCCTGGTCCAGACTCGATTATTTACAGACCGCCGCCATATAGCTGGAATATTACTGAGTGCGGGATTAAACGACAAACAAACAAACAAACAAAACCGTGGTCATAATCCCTCGAGTAAGGTAACATGTGCTTGTTTGTTCCTTGTTTAACGCCGCAGTCAACAACATTGATGCTCATGATCGATTCTGGTTCAGAAGTTGTAGTGATCGATATGTTTGGGATATGGGGACACGTTGTCAACAAAGTCACCAAATCTGACCACCCGATCGACGCTGTCGGGATATGAAGACATGTCAACAAAGTTAGGAAGCCTGACCACCCGATCCACGGAGTCCTCTCTCATGACCGTTATAGAACCTGGAATGTCCACGGTTTGTCTAGGTATCGCCACGTTCACGGTGTTGTCACATGTTTCCAGTCTAACACACATGCATGGTTGGGAACTAGGGAACCCTGCACGGTTACAATGGCTACAATTGTCCTAATGTTCACCTCTGGATTGCCTCCCTTTGGAGAGTCGG